ATATGAGAGATTGGGGGTTTGTTTCTGGAAAGATCCTTGAAGAAATAACACTTAGGCTAGCCCCTAAAAGCCTAGGAGGGTCCCAGGTAGGCTTATCAAGAGAGCAAAGATTCCAGAAAGAGAGATAGGTAGACTTTGGTGAAAGGAACCACAAGGACACTTGTAATGACGAGCAGAATGGAGGAGGAGGTAGGCAGGAAGCCAGGTGTGTGTGTGTGTGTGTGTGTGTGTGTGTGTGTGTACCCATCCTTTGCCTGATCCTGAGTGACAGGGAGCTGCACCCATCCAGCCTTGTCATTATGAGAGAAGATGGGAGATGAGGCTAAGATGGGGAGGCAGAGCCACGTCGTTGAGATGACTGGAACACCCATGACCTCAGGTTGTGTGCTGTGGACACGGGAGACGTCAGTATCCTCAGGCCTGAGAGAGTAGTCAGCAGGCAGGTGCAGGTCCACCCTCTGCAGACCAAGATCTAGGACTGGATACACAGAAGCAGTTTGGTGAGCTGACTGAAAACACAGTAGGCCCAGTCCCACATCCTCTTACCCCACTGGTCACCCTGACCAAAAGACTGCTGGGGATCAGGCCTAGGCTGAGACTTCCTACAGACCCTGTGGCTTCCAGGGAGTCTGTTCTCACCTGAGTCCCTCCCCCTCCTCCTCCCTCTCCTGCTCTGCCTTCACCTATGCAGACCACTCTGCTCCACAGAGCCACCTATCCTGTCACCTGACTCCAGGTCCCAGGGCTAGGAGCAAGGCCACTCTCTTGTCCTTGTGAACATCACAACATAGGAGTGGGAGGAGCCACCAACCCCACCTCTACCTCTCCTCCACACCCCCCCATCCCCCCCTTCCCCCCCCCCCCCCCCCCACCACCCCCTCCTTCACTCCTCCCTCACACTACCCTGGCAGTGCTGGGATCCTAGGTGGAGCTGCCATGGCCACCTGCTCCCTTCACTCCTGCTGTAACATAAGGTCCTCACTCCCCCCTCCCCCGCCACCCTTCTTCCTCCACAGCTTCTGCCATCTTCTGTCCCCACCTCAGGCACACCTTTGGTCCCTCACTGAGCACCAAGGGAGTCTTTCTACTCTGGGATGGCCTCTGACTCCCTGTTGAGATCTCTCACCACAGAACAGCTCTCCTTTTCCTGTAGGCAGAGCCCAAAACACACAGCAAGAAGCAAGCTTGGCTTTTCCTGCTGCCCTCTCCTCCCTCCCACTGTGACTCCCACAGGGCTCAGGCCCCCTGTGCTTCATTGTCCACCCTGCACTGCAGTCCTCCATCCTCCTATTCTTCTCTCAATGTTGGGGTGAATGTCCCTTCCTTCAGATATTCCCAGCCCCAGGACCTTCCAGATGAAGCCCTTTGGCTTCCTCCTCCAGGAAGCACCCTGCTCTATCTAGTGAACTATGTATCCTACAAAAGCCAGCTCTAACGAGGCCTCTTCTGTTTTTCCCTCCCAAGCTGACTTATTTAAGTAACATGTTCTGCTATTTATTTATGCCCTTAAAGAGCGAGCTGTCCTCTTAGGAGACCAGACTGGTGACAACTGTCATACAATCACATGCCAGGACCCTTTCTGTCCCAGTAGGTGAAATCAGGGCCCAAGAATCCTACCACTCACCGGAGCCTCTTGTCTTTCCCCACAGCGGATGACGCCTGTGGCGGGACCCTGAGGGGCCAGAGCGGAATCATCTCCAGTCCCCACTTCCCTGCTGAGTATCATAACAATGCTGACTGCACATGGACCATCCTGGCTGAGCTTGGGGACACCATCGCCCTGGTTTTTATTGACTTCCAGCTAGAGGATGGCTATGACTTCCTGGAGGTCACAGGGACCGAAGGCTCCTCTCTCTGGTGAGTCTCACGCCAGCCCCCCCCTTCCCTCGTGGCCTCTGCAGCTAGGGAAGACTGGACTGTCCAAGGTGTCCTTTGCATCCTCCTCCCCACTGGCTTGTTTTGAACTCTGGAGTCCTTGCATCTCATCATGAACGAGAAATCACTGCATGGTTTTAAAGTGGAGATGCGATTTTTGACAGGGATTTCCATATCTGATTCGAAGTGCGTCCTTGCGAGTTTCAGGACGGAACTTAGCCGAGAAATCCGAATTCAAGCTAAAAATGTTTTGGTCCCGTGACACGAGCTTCGGACAGGATTTTGGTAACACCGTACGAAATCTTGTTGTGTTTCTGGATGACACAAGCACCCTCAGGGGCCTTGCTTTTTCGAGCACTGCTGGGGCCTTGAGACATGGCAATGCCTGTGTGGGGAGCAATGAAGGGATTCATCTCCCTCTTGCCAGCTGTGTCAGGGGGCCACTCTTCTTCCTGAATATCCCAGAAGATCCCAGATGTTGCCAGGCCAGGGAGGAGGAGGGACATGGGAGGACTGGGGGCTTGACATGGCTTGACAACCATCCTTCGTTGGTATCCACAAGCTGTGACTTATGTGCCCAAGAAGGCTGAGGATGGCTTAGGGAGGTCGTGTGCCCAGCCTTTCCAGTTATGTGAGATAAAATGCCTGCTCTTAGATTCACTATGTGACTCTCTTATCAGAATGATGATGTCGAGCAGTGTTTGTGGCACATGTGGATCCAGCAGAAAAGTTTCCAGATGTAGAACAGACTGGGATGGGCGTCTTTGTTGATTTTGGGGGGAGGGGGCAGGGATGGCTCAGAACATGAGACAGTAGGGCAGAAGGGCATTGCTGGATATTCCAGGCAAAGCAGGGATCAGGGGATTGAAAGCCAGGGGAGGCTAATGTGTAGGGACACAGCGTAGTTACTGGGGTGGTAGTAAGACAAGGAAAGACAGAACTGGGATAGAGAGGAAGGATGGAAGGCTATGATTGTACACCTCCTGCCTGCCAGTTATCTTAGTGGTTAAAAAAACTTCCTGAGCCAGGTAGTGGTGGCTCACACCTTTAATCCTAGCACTTGGGAGGCAGAGGCAGGCAGATTTCTGTGAGTTTGAGGCTAATGTGGTCTACAAAGTGAGTTCCAGGACAGCCAGGGTTGTTACACAGAGAAACCCTGTCTTGAATTTAAAAAGGAAAGGAAAGGAAAGGAAAGGAAAGGAAAGGAAAGGAAAGGAA